TTCATTCCAAGTCAAGGTGGACCTTCCCAGCTTCACTAGGCAGGAGGGCAGTAGGAAAGCCATTCTGGCACCCAGGACGAGGACCTCTTGGTGGTTTAGTGTCCAAGGGGAGCACCACAGGGATCAGCGGCTGAGGGCTGAGGCTCTGTGGGACCGAGATGCTGGTTCACCACCTGAAGCTGGTCTGAAACACTAACGTCCTCCTGTGCTGTGCTCCTATGGAGGGTGTCCCTTGTTGGTCTGGGGGTCCCTGGGGACCACCTGACAGCTTGAGGCAGCCCCAGCCCAGCGCCAAGCTGGCACCAGGCCTCCTGCAGCAGTTCTCAGCTGAGCAGATGCTCTGTGGGAGGGTTGTCTTGTTTGCAGCCAAACCCTCGGCACCTTTCCCTTTTCAAGCGAAGGCAGCGGCTTCCCAAGATCCACAGGTCTCCCCCCCCCAGAGCCACAGGAGGCTCCTGGCATCTGCCCATCCCTGCTCCACTGCTTTCACCGAGTTTCCCCAGGGGAACTTGGTAACCATCACAAGAAACGGGGGTTGGCGAGGCTGAGAGGGAAGCTCAGGTTTGGCCACACATGAAAGTCAGGCTCCCCACAGGGCCTCGCCTTCCCCTGGTGAAGGAAAGGTTCCCTTTGATCCCATGCTCCCCTGCCTGGCCAACTTGACGCCTCAAAGAGCAGGCCTGAACGTCAGGACATCAAGAAGAGCCCAGAAGCCACATGAGGGAGGAGGAGGAGTGAGTCTTCTTGTCACTCACATAGCCTTCCTGGCTCAAGCAGCTCTTTGCTCACCCGAGGCAAGCCATGGTGGCTCCTGGCTCCAGAGCTGCCCTTCCCATGGACACATCTGTAGGGCTTTCTGTGGTCTGGTTGCACTTCACAGCTTCTCATCTCCAGCAGATGCAGATGCTACCCACGCCTCTCCCTCCATCTCGGTGCCTGGAAGCCCCTCCCCAGGACACAGACCCCACCAGGTCTTCTCTGCCTCTCGACAAAGATCCAAGCTCATTGAGGAAAGGTGCTTTGAGCTGGGAGAGAGGAGATGGGGCAGGCAAAGGGTCCCTCTCCTCCCCAGCACTGACTCCTGCAGAAGAAGCTCCACCGCTCCTGAACTTCCCAAACCCTTTGCAAGCCCCTAGGTTAAACACTGTGAAATTTGTAAGCGGGAGCTGCCGGGGTTGCCATGGTTTCCCTCGTCCAGAGGAGGTGGCTCCAGAGCCCGGATTTGCCAAAGGACAGGAGAAAAATGGAGGACTGGGATTTTACTCACCACCCCACTGGGGAAGGACAGGGAAGTGGCATTCTCCTTCTCCCTCTCCCCTTCCCACCCTAATTTTATCTCTGCTTCCTCTGCAAATTCCTAACAGATCCCAGCTGCCAGGCTGGGCTGGGGATGCTGCTTTTCCTGGCAGGAGGATTTCAGGGAGATGGGGATGGGCATCCTGCGGGCTGCAGGTGCCATGGGCTGACCTGGGGCAGCTGGCAGGGAGGAAGGGTGGTGGAAAGCCATGGGGAGGAGAGAGGAAGAGGAGGGTGGGGAGGAAGGACAGAAAGAGGGGCTCTGCCCTCCTCTCAGCCATCGAGAGGCGGTGGTCTGGCCCCACAAGTTGAAAAATGGGGCAGAGCCCCTCGGAGCATCGCTCCACTCAACCTCGACCGGCTCCTTCCCCAGCTCTGTCCCAGTTGCTGGAAGTGGAACAAGCCAGGAGCCTCTTCTCCCTCCCGGGGCCCTGTGGCTGCCCAGAGCTCATAAAGCAAATCACTGGTGCTTAATGAAGAAGCACCTGCTTAATTGAACCCAGCGGGACAGGCAACAGGAGGGGGCCAGCAGCACCCTCCTGGCTGGTCCCAGCAGAGAGGAAGAGGGGAAGGTGTCTCCATCTGCAGCTGCACTGCATTTCATCTTTTTTTAAAAAATATTATAGATAAAAAAACAGACTTTTACCCCCCGTCAAGCAAGAACTGGGCTGTCTTGCCCATCTCACCACCCTGTCCCAGGCAGGAGATGGGGCTGAAGCAGTTAAAGGGGTGAGTGGGTGGGACAGGAGCTCCCTGAAATGATGATGTTTAGATTAGCCGGGTTTCCAGGCATCGAGTTGTCAAAGCAAAAGGGCTGGAAGGGACAACGGGGCTTGCCCTTAATTGGAGATGTGGCTCCGAAGCCACCCCTGGGCTCTCAGCCCCGCAGCAGGTCCCTGCCTGGGGCTCTCTGCTTCTCCCAGTCTGCAGCCACCCCGTGGTTGGGCTCAGGGGTTGCTGTGGTGCATCGTGGGGTGCAGCTCAGGGGTGCGGGCTGGCACGGTGATGCAAAGCTTGTGGTGACCTCCACAGCTCTTCCTTTGGCCAGCGTTGTCCTGCCAGGGGGTCCTTTCGGCTTGGGGGACGAGCGGGGTGCTGTCCCCATGGTGGGACCTGGAGGTGGCCTGTTGGGTCTCTCAGGGGAGGAGGCAAGGGTGGGAATGTCCCCCATCAGCTCGTTGCTGCCTCCCATCTGCCCACAGCCTCCCAGCACCTCAGCAGGCTGCCCCCCGGGGACACTGCCGCCTCCCCTTCTCCCCCACGCTGGGAGGTCCGAGGGGTCACACGTGTCACCCACGGGGGTGCAGGCAGAGGCATCTCACTGGGATGGTGCTCCGGGGGAAGGGGTGGGATTAGCCATCGGGTGGGTGGGCGAGCC